AAATTGATGTTATGAGTCTCGTAGCAGCTGGTCACGGTTTTGGCATAATGCGATGAAGCCAGGTCCGGCCAAAATATGTAACTACCATCGGCATGATAAGCGTTGATGAACGGCACTAATCTTTTCCTAATACATTTCATTTCATAGATGGCTTTATTGACTGCAAGGCCGCTGGGTATAAAAAATGGTTTTGAAACACCTTTGTCAGAAGCGGCCAGCCAGACAAGCACCTTGGGTTCGAACTTGCGCTTTTTGCGATATTTAACACTTGGTGGTGTCTTGTCTCTGTTGCTAGAGTAGTAGGTGCTGTTTCCATTAATTGTTGAGTGTGACAGCGTGAAGTAAGACTCATCGTCAAGGATGACCGATTTTCCTTTAAAAACGCGATAAAGACGATCAATGCCAGTTTTAGTTCGCTCATTCTGGTTCTCTTGTCGATGAGGTATACCCTGTTTTTTATAACTTTTGATGTCAGTGTACTTGGCAAGAGTTTTAATGATATGTGAATGACTGCATCCAAATTTTCGACCAGCTTGCCTCATCGAAACTCGGTCACTGTGATCAAATATGGCTTTCAGGCGCTTGATCCTCTTAGGGGTCATGATTTTGGCCACACGACCACTTCCTTGCACTCTTTTGTGCCCAGAATCATTCTCAACACGTTTGATTATATCATAGATAGTGCTTCTTGGGATTTTTTCAGCATTGAAGTGAGCTACTGTGAACTTTTTACCTTGCAATTTATTATTCAAATAGAACTCGTAAATCCGTTTTCTTACCTCTTCTTGCTTGGTCATCATTATTTTTTTAATTATTATTAATTATCTAAAAAAAAAAAAATTAACTTATAGAGAATTAAATAAGCTATAAAATGGATATAAACATGAATAAAAAAGATTTAGCTTGTGGCATTTAAAATTCAGTTAAAGTTTGTCCGGATTTTCAGTAACCACCCGTTAAAATAATTCCTCTCTCCCTTTTTCCATTTGTACTTATTTTTATTCTTTCCATTTTGTTTTTCATTGAATTTGAATTTTTAATTTTTTTTTTAATCTTTTAGGGGGCGCTGTTTGATCGTTCTAAAGGGCGTGGTGGGTATATATATATATATATATATATATATATATATATATATATATATATATATATATATATATATATATATATATATATATATATATATATATATATAAATATACGATACACAAAATGCGATAAAAGGCTATTGGGGTATCCGTTCTAGAGAAATCAAATGGATTGAAATCATTTTATAATTCTGACATGAGCTCAAATTTAAACTTGAACAATAGATCATCTAATGTTAAATCTTATTTATCAAATTACTTGCTATCAGCATTAAATAGTTTTTATTTAAACGCAACCTCTTTAGACAACAAATGGAACAGTTTTAAAGCTAAAATAGCATCGCTTGAATATCCGCACATTATTGCTGTCACAGAGACTTGGCTCACTTCAATCTCTCTGATTCAATTAGACAGTTATTCAGTATATCTACACAATAGAGAACAAAGAGGTGGTGGAGTTGCTATTTATATTAGAAATGATATCAAATCGTTGGAATGTAATTTTAATAACGACCAAATAAGCAAACAAGTTTGGTGTCAGGTGATTATTGGCTTAGAGCGTATACTCATTGTCCGTTTCTACCGTCATCCACATATCAATCAAGAATCTAATACAGTTATTAACAAATCTATTGCGCTAGCAAAGTAAATTGGTTGACAATAGAAAATACACTAACGCTTTAATTGTTGGTGACTTCAATCACAACGATATTATTCAATCACAACGATATTATTCAATCACAACGATATTATTCAATCACAACGACATTGTTTTGCAGACGACACCTCCTTATTCTCTAGCAAAAATTCAGAAGCTTTATTATTATCCCTTGATACTTCCAAGGGTACGAGTATTGATGGTATACACGCTTATCTTATAAAATGTTGCTAAGCTAGTCTCAGTAGGCCACTTTCACTTATATTTAAACGTTCCATAGTTTCTGGTCAAGTTCCATCTTATTGGAAGCTTGCAAATGTCTTACCCATTCACAAGAAAGGTTGTCGTACTGATCCAGAAAAATCATCAACATGGATTTGTTCGAAATTGTTCGTGTACGAATAATATTTTTGAAGTATTAGACGTTATTACCGAAGCTCTTAATGATTGCTGCTTTGCACAACTAATTCTTTTAGACTTCACTAAAGCTTTTGATCGTGTCTCAATCATTCTTCTTCTTCTAAAACTAAAATGATACGGTTTCAGTTACATGATCTTTAATCAGATAAAAAAAATTTTGAGCAGTAGAAAACAACGTGTTATTCTTGGTAAATCCTCTTCTGATTGGATAGATGTACTGAGTGGAGTTCCTCAGGCTCGGTTATCGCTCCACTTTTGTTTTTAATTTTTATTAATGAAATGACTGAGATTTTATCTAATTTCTGTAAGTTATTGGCTGATGATACTCAATTAATTGCAAAAATCAAAAGTTTATCTGATCTAGAACTAGTCCAAAAAGATATTGATCTCTTACATCATTGGTCTAAACTTTGGGGTATGGAGTTTAATATAAATAAATGCAAAGTGATAAATAAATAAGCTTTTATGGTGGTTTCGATGTTTTAGACTACTCTTTTGGTATGCTTAACTCATCTAACACTCTTATTTCTTTTAAAAAATGTTGACATTGATAAATCACTAGGAATTTATTTCAACAGTAAACTTAAGTTGTCTGATCAAATAAGTAATGCGGCAATAAAAGCTAACCAAGTGCTAAGTATTCTTAAAAGTACTTTTATTAAATGGAATCCTATTATGTTTTTAAAACTATATACTACCTATGTTTTCCGCTTGAATTTTGCGCTCCACTATGGAACCCCTATTTAAAGAAAGATATTGAGAGATTCGAAAAAATTCAACGCAGAGCAACTAAACTTGTTCCTCAATTAAGAAACATGAACTGCGAATCTCGATTGGCAAGATTGGGATTAACAACACTTTCAGAAAGACAAATGAGAGGCGATTTGATTTAGTATTTCAAAATCTACAAGAATTTTAATCAAGTCTAGTTTCTAAATCCAATTATAACACCTACTTTTTTTCAAATTATCCTGCAGGAAACTTACGAAACAAAATCCACAACCATGCCATTGTCAGAGAAATTTTAAATAATTCGCACCAACATTACTTCTTACCTAATAGAATTGCATCCCAATGCAATGCCTTGCCTTCTTTCGTTGTTTCCTCAAATTCTATCAACGAATTTATAAACAAATACGATAACTTTTGTCGCTCCACTAGAATAAGGTCTACTATAACAGGGCATCCAAACTTACTACTTCTATTGTAGATTATTTATAATAATAAAAATATATGAAAAAGTCATTAAATTTAAATATTTTGTACATGCACGTATAATACCGAGAAGTTTTACTATTGGAGTCGGAGTCGCGATTTTGTTTGGCGACTCCGACTCCACAGTTCTGTATACATATATATATATATATATATATATATATATATATATATATATATATATATATATATATATATATATATATATATATATATATATATATATATATATATATATATATATATATATATATATATATATATATATATATATATATATATATATATATATATATATACGCAGTGTAAAAAAAACCTAAACTAAATTTTTGAGAGCACAAAAGTTTACAGTTAAATAACGTCTGTAGTGATTATATCAAATAAATACTCTTAATTGCCCACAACTGCGGTTTTGAAATAATTTTTTTTTTGTAAAATTGCATCTCGCAGTGTATACATATTATACACTGCGAGATGCAATTTTATACACTGTATACAAGTGTATACACTACGAAACATAATGATAAGACACCCCAAAAAGATTTATATAATTCAACTATACTTTTATATTTAAAAACTAATTTTTATTGTAAATGAAAGCAAAGAATTTACAGCACTAAACAACATTTTAACAAATTTATTTTAAACGTAACTCGCATTTTATAAAAAAAAGAACCGTTTTTTTCAGTGCGAAAAAATTATAAGACAGTTTTACAAAAAAAAAATTATTTGCAAACCACAGTTGTGGGCAATTAAGAGTATTTGTTTGATATAATCACTACAGACGTTATTTAACTGTAAACTTTTGTGAACTCTCAAAAATTTAGTTTAGGTTTTTTTTTATTAAGTATAAAATAACAAATTAATTAATAATGGATCGTGCTGCACCGTTGAGCCCTAACTTATCAAAAATGGGTCACTCCGTTAGTAACATGGCTAGAGCTATTGGACGCAGCTGAACTGTGATTTAAAACCACAAAATAGTCCTCATATGTATAGAATTAAAAAAAGTCCTGGACGTCCATCAACATTAAGTGACCGTGATAGGTGAATGTTGTTGAGAAAAGCTTTAAATTCTTCATTAACTGCATATCAAATTACTGCAGAAGCAGGTGTGATTGCTAATTTACGTACAGTTCATCAAGTTATTAATAATGGTTTCACCTTTCGCGCAAAAACTTCAGAGAAAACGACCTTTGACAACAGATCACATAAACGATCAAATAACTTTTGCAAATGACCACGTAACATGGAAAGGAGAGTGGCAACGAGAAGTATATTCTGACGAAAAACGATTTTGTCTAGATGGGCCGGATAAATGGAATTATTATTTTCACGATTTGAGTAAAGAGTCAGTAACACAGCAACGACGTCAAATGGGTGGTAGTGGCGCAATGATTTGGTGTGCGATTGGGTATCATGATGAATCAAAAATTTATTTTATTGACGGAAAAATGAAGGCTAAGGATTATCTTTTAATTGTTCAAGAATTTTTAAGACAAGAAGCTCTGTCATAGGTGGTGAAAATTATGTTTTTCATCAAGCTAAGATAGTAAAGGAAAATTTCAACAGCACTAAATTTTAAACATTGAAATGGCCAGCTAGATCTCCACGCCTTAATATTATTGAGAATGCTCGGGTCGGCTGTCACATATAGTGTTTGAAGGTGGTAAACAATATAATTCACTAGCTGACTTGAAATCATCCATCACATCTGCATGGAATGCAATTGACATTTCGTACATAAAAAAGTTTTGTGATTCTTTACCTTCTAGATTGATTGAAGTGATTCAAAACAATACAAAAGTATTCACTTAGTATTTACAAATATATACTGACGTATTACGCTCCTAATATCTATTAATTGAGGACTTTTTGATAACATCCAGTTATCACTTAAAAATATACTTCCATGGGGAAGATCAACTTATAATAATAAATTAATAAAAAAATTGAAAGTTTCATTAAAAGAGTTTGTAGAAAAACTTATTTAATTTTAAAAACAAATTAAACAAAGAAACCAACGAAAATTACGGTTGTAAATCAAACTAATTCCCCCTCAATGTAACAAGCTTAATGATTTTAAAAATTTTAAACTTACTAAAATATTAAATTTAAAAATACAAATGATCAATTTCAAACAAAAATAAAAAATATGCTTTAATATTATAGCGAGCAAACATGTTCTTGGGTTTGTTGATAAAATCTATTATCTATACAAAAAGTTTTCTAAAAATTATGATGTTACAAAAACGTATAGGCTAAGAGCAAAATTGTAATGATAAGCAAAAAACTTTTAGACACCACAAACATAAACTTTTAGAATTAATCTACAAATAAATCAATGGAAAAATACTACGTTATTAATTGGTTTAACAGCATCCCAGATAAAAATAATTATTTTTTTATTCATTTGATATAAATAACATTTACGCGTCTATAACAACAGCAATATTTAATAACGCCATTTTTAACAACAGCAATATTTAATAAAGCCAATATTTAATAAAGCCATTTCCTTTGTAAACTAACGCACTACCACAGATGACCAACTTAGAGTTATAAAACACAGGCCTAAATCACGTCTTTGTTACAACTATAGCAAGGGGATAAAAAAAACTAAATAATGAAAGTTTCGACGTAACGAGAGGTAGCTACGATTGCGCTGAAATTTGTGAATTTGCACGTGCTCAACAAACCATCAGAAATAATTAAAATAATCAAAAATAGAACTACACCGTGATGAAGGCTTGTTAATATTACAAAGTTTTAAAGGTCAAGAAAAAGAGTTTTAAAAAAACACTTGAAAAAACATTATTTTCATATCAAAAAAACTTTCTTGATGAAACCTTCAACTTAACAGAAAACACCAATAAACCTTTTAAAAAACTTAATGAAAACCTTCAATACATCCATACTTCTTCTAATCATCCATCACATATTCTCAAACACTTACCTACTTTAACTAGCAACAGATTTTAACAAAGCTCCTCTAAAGAAGCATTATTTAACCAATTAATTAAAAATTAATACAAGAGCATTAAGCATTATTTAACCAATTAATTAAAAATTAATACAAGAGCATTAAGCATTATTTAACCAATTGATTAAAAATTAATACAAGAGCATTAAGCATTATTTAACCAATAAATTAAAAATTAATACAATTAATTAAAAATTAATACAATTAATTAAAAATTAATACAATTAATTAAAAATTAATACAATTAATTAAAAATTAATACAAATAATTAAAAATTAATACAAAAATTAATTAAAAATTAATACAAGCATTATTTTATTTATTTTTTTTTATTATACTTCACCTCCTCAAGGCCGAGAAGGCCACTACAGACGAGGAGGCTACATATTTTGTGGCTATAACCCTCTCTCAACTCTATAACTCCGAAACACGAACCTTGACGAACAAGGCTGCTGCGCAGAGAAACGAGTTGAGCGCGGTACTACCAGGGACGTGGTGGGGATCGAACTCGGAACCACTCGTTTATGAAGCGAGCGCTCTACCACTACACCACTACCAATTAATTAAAAATTAATACAAGAAAGCACTGAAAAACAGCTAATGTAAAGTTATAAAGGATACAAAAACAATTCCCTTAAATACCATATAAAAATCAAACCCCAAAAAATCGTAAACGCTATTAATGGTTCAAACCCCATTTAACAAAAACGTCCCCACAATTTTTGCTAAAACATTTTTAAAATTACTACATAAAAATGTCTTAAAAACCAAAAACTACACAAAATTTTCAACTCGAACACTGTAAAAGTAAACTACAGCTATATTGATAATATCGAGAAAATTATTAAAAACAATAACGAAAAAATAATTTTTACAAAAATTAAAAATAATGTAGTAAAATGTAATTGTCGAAACAAGGCAGGATGCCCCATAAATTAAAGTTGAAGATCCACAAATATTATTTATAAATGCACCTTTGCAGCTAAAGGCCAACTTAAACTAAAGTTTATGTTGTATAAACTAAAGTTTGTTGAATTCCTAAACTAAAGTTTATGTCGTATAAACGAAGGTGAGTGGAAAACTCACATAATAATCTTAAGTTATCATTCAAAAACATTAAATACAAAAAGTCTACCGCACTATCTGACTATGTTTGGGATTTAAAAACCAAATTTAATTAAACCCCTATTTTCAAATAGTCTATCTTAAAATTTGAACTAAAGCTCGCAACAAACCAAACTAATCTGTAACCATTAATTTTCTATTTAATCCATCTCTAAGCTAACTAAAACAACATTCATATACATAGCTCATGTAATATATTTCATAATTTAATTAATATCTATATACTTTTATATCTATATTTTAATAAATTTCTATATATTCATATATATATATATATATATGTATTTTTTGTACTAACATTAACCTTAACAACTAAACGATTTCCGCTCTAAACAAACTAAAACACATAAATGAGCCCTAACTTCTTCTTCCTTTTTTTTTTATCGAAGAGCATTGCGGAAGAGTATTTGAAAGAAAGTCACGCCTCCTTCCTTACCGATGTTATAAAACTTGCCCCGAGATGGCGTTAAACCACTGATCTCTAGCTTCTGAGGCAAGGGCGTTAACCACTGCGCTACGACAGCTAAAAGTAACAACTAAACAAATTGTAACATATTTAACTTTTTACTACTTGCCTGATGATTGAGTAACACAGGAAACTCTGTGTAGCAATATTCTATCATAAATATTAGCATTAAGCTAATTCCTGATACTGCGGGTAACAATAAATAACATATATGTATATATATATATATATATATATATATATATATATATATATATATATATATATATATATATATATATATATATATATATATATATTCTTTAAAAGTCATTTTCTTGTTATACAATAATAATAAAATATGTAAAATTCAATAAAAACAGCTGCGTATAAACTTTTTAAAAAATATATATTTGTTTTTATTTTAATATATTTTTCCGATATTTCGCTGATCTATTGTGATCAGCGTCATCAGGTGTAATAAATAAAAATCGTTACAAAGAAAATTGTTGTAATAAAAACTAACCGTTAAAAAGATAACATTAAAAAGAGCATAACAAAATACAAAATAGCTTTAAATGTTGACGTCAAATAATCTAACAAAAAATGGCCCCCAAGTTTTTGTCGTCACGTAATCACTATCATCCCTATTTAAAACTTTTTCATCACTTCCAAGTTTTTGTCGAACTTTAGCTCTGTTTACTTCGAGTGACTCTCGAATTTTCCGAATATGATACTCTGGAGCGATTGATATAGTTTTGGGATGAAACCAATCAATTGTACCCTGGCATGATTTGGAATGTTCGGTAGCACCTGAACTGGCCCATTTTCCTTTAACACTATTTTTCTTGTTTTCAATACATCTCGATATAACTTTCTTCTTAGTTTCTCCAATGTATATAGAATTGCATGAACATTTTAGTTGGTAGACGCCTGGGTTTGTATTTGGAGGAAGTTTTGTCTTATTGTTGCATAAAATATTGTTTAAATTTTGAGCGGATGTAAATATAACTTTTATATTTTGTTTTCTAAGTTCCTTTCTAAGTTTGAGACCAACGATTGGTATCCATGGTAGTTTTATAAATGGTTGGTTGTCAGTTGGTTTATAATTGATATTTTTTAATTCGTTTTTTAGAAAGTTTCTGGCGATATTAATTAGATTGTTCTTGTTGTACCCGTTTTCAACAAACATTTCTATTAGAAAATCAATTTCTTTTTTGAGATATTTTTGAGAGCATAATCTCTTTGCACGACATAAAAAGCCTTTGAATACGCCAGTGATAATATTAGGATTGATGTTTGAGTTAGGTTTTAGTTGAATATTAGTTGTTGCTTCTTTTCGATGTATTTCAAATTCATAAGCTCCATGCATTGTGTTTGTAATATTAACATCTAGAAAGTTAAGTTGTTTTTGGTGGTTTTCGAGTTCAACAGTGTATTTTATGGCAGGGTTTTGTTCGCTTAGGATATTTAGAAACATTTGTTGTTGTTTTATTGAGTTAAAGCGAGCGTGACAGTCGTCTACATATCTCACAAAAGCTTTTGGTTCACATGTACAAATAGTAGCTATATTAAGAGCTTTTCTTTCTATATTCTGTAGAAACGCTTCCGCCATAACAACCATTAAAGACAAACCTATGGGACCTGAATTAGGTATTATTCGGATTTTGTTTTCATATAAAAAAGGATCTATGTTTCAAACCTTCTATGTCTTTTTCGGCTTTTTCCAATTTGCTATTGAATAATTTTAAGTTTCCTCTAATAATATCGACAAAAACTTTTTCCTGTTGTATTAACATTAATTCAAATTCTTTTTTATAGCCCTCAAACAATTTTGCAATTTCGGATAATGTAACAGCCATATTATATAAAAAATGAATTATTTTCTCAAGAAAAATAAATAAAATATACTAAAGATTTAAAAATTATACTGTTATTTCTTTTTTCTTATTTACTTTTTATTAACTTTTTTAACTAAGTTAAGTTTAACGATTTTTTAAATAAATTTTAACGCTTTTGATTTGAAAAACTTTAAGTTAAAAAATACTAAATTAAAAACTACATCGAATATAAAAAATACTCCTAGAATAAATCCTCCTAATCAAGTTGTTAAACCTGCTATACTTAATTTAACTAATGTTATTTTGGATAAAGCAACAACTGAACTTCTAAATCTAGGTCCAAAATTTGTGCCATTTCAGAAGAAAATCCCTTATATGGACATTATAACAAATATTGAAATGTGCGCTTGACGACTTGAAAAATTGGATAAATCAATGCAGGCAGAATCTCTAAGACAAAACTGTTCTAATATTTTAACAAATTCATTAAAATTAAGATTAAAAAATAATTTATCTAAACAACAACGTATTTCTATAAGAAAATTAAAGATGAATTCCGATATTAAAATTTATCCCTTTGATAAAGGCACAGGTTTTGCACTACTATACCAAAGAGATGCATCTCTTAAATTAGAAGAAACAATTAAAAATAGCAGAATTATTGATCATGACCCGACACCCACACTTACTACCAAATTTCAAAAGCAATTATCTAAATTAAGAAAAGAGGGTAAACTAGACACAACTACATATTTTAAAATGTATCCGTCAGATTGTGTACCACCTAGAATATATGGATTGGTTAAAGCGCACAAACCTGAAAAAGATTACCCAATGCGCCCTGTTGTGTCAACAATCAACACACCGCCATATGGAACATTCGAATACCTCGTTAATATCATTCAACCAATATTAAATAAAAACAAAAATAGACTTATTAATTCCAATAGCTTTGTTAATGAAGCCAGACAATGGAAAATAGATCCCAATGAGGTTCAAGTTTCATTTGATGTAGTCAATTTATATCCGTCCATACCCATTGACGAAGCTATTCTAGTTATTATTGATATATTGAATAATGATATAGAAGACTTAAAGACTCGAACTAAACTATCTCTTGTAGACATACACCAATTAATAGAACTTTCATTAAGCATTTGCTATTTTCTATATGAAAACAAAATCCGAATAATACCTAATTCAGGTCCCATAGGTTTGTCTTTAATGGTTGTTATGGCGGAAGCGTTTCTACAGAATATAGAAAGAAAAGCTCTTAATATAGCTACTATTTGTACATGTGAACCAAAAGCTTTTGTGAGATATATAGACGACTGTCACGCTCGCTTTAACTCAATAAAACAACAACAAATGTTTCTAAATATCCTAAACGAACAAAACCCTGCCATAAAATACACTGTTGAACTCGAAAACCACCAAAAACAACTTAACTTTCTAGATGTTAATATTACAAACACAATGCATGGAGCTTATGAATTTGAAATACATCGAAAAGAAGCAACAACTAATATTCAACTAAAACCTAACTCAAACATCAATCCTAATATTATCACTGGCGTATTCAAAGGCTTTTTATGTCGTGCAAAGAGATTATGCTCTCAAAAATATCTCAAAAAAGAAATTGATTTTCTAATAGAAATGTTTGTTGAAAACGGGTACAACAAGAACAATCTAATTAATATCGCCAGAAACTTTCTAAAAAACGAATTAAAAAATATCAATTATAAACCAACTGACAACCAACCATTTATAAAACTACCATGAATACCAATCGTTGGTCCCAAACTTAGAAAGGAACTTAGAAAACAAAATATAAAAGTTATGTTTATATCCGCTCAATATTTAAACAATATTTTATGCAACAATAAGACAAAACTTCCTCCAAATACAAACCCAGGCGTCTACCAACTAAAATGTTCATGCAATTCTATATACATTGGAGAAACTAAGAAGAAATTTATATCGAGATGTATTGAAAACAAGAAAAATAGTGTTAAAGGAAAATGGGTCAGTTCAGGTGCTACCGAACATTCCAAATCATGCCAGGGTACAATTGATTGGTTTCATCCCAAAACTATATCAATCGCTCCAGAGTATCATATTCGGAAAATTCGAGAGTCACTCGAAGTAAACAGAGCTAAAGTTCGACAAAAACTTGGAAGTGATGAAAAAGTTTTAAATAGGGATGATGGGGATTACGTGACGACAAAAACTTGGGGGCCATTTTTTGTTAGATTATTTGACGTTAACAAATAAAGCTATTTTGTATTTTGTTATGCTCTTTTTAATGTTATCTTTTTAACGGTTAGTTTTTATTACAGCAATTTTCTTTGTAACGATTTTTATTTATTACACCTTATGACGCTGATCACAATAGATCAGCGAAATATCGGAAAAATATATTAAAATAAAAACAAATATATATTTTTTAAAAAGTTTATACGCAGCCGTTTTTATTGAATTTTACATGTTATATATATATATATATATATATATATATATATATATATATATATATATATATATATATATATATATATATATATATATATATATATAATATATATATATATATATATATATATATATATATATATATATATATATATATATATATATATATATATATATATATATATATAAATATATATATATATATATATATATATATATATATATATATATATATATATATATATATATATATATATATATATATATATATATATATATATATATATATATATATATATATATATATATAATATATATAAATAAAATAATTATTATTTTGGAAACTTTTATAAAATTGTGTTTCTTTTTTTTCAAAATATTAGGGACCCGTCTGATGTTTAAAGGTCTTGGGTCTGATTAAGGGTCTAGCTTATCCCAACTTATATTTACAATATTATTTAGAGTGTTCACTTCAGTACAAAATTCATTCCACTTTTTTTTTTAACTTTAAATATAATGCTCTATGGGGACCTTTTGTCTTTCCTGTGAGTACTTCCATGAAGTGAGACGTATGCAGTTCATATATGTGATGCCTGCATATCAACCATATTAATGGGAGGTTTAGTTTTACGCTTAGCAATTGAATTGCTACAGCATATTTTCCCGTGTTACTACTAGTTGTATCGCAGCAGCAAGCAAACAATTGAAGGTCTTCTGAAATTTCTTTAACTAGTTTAGTGTCAAAATGTAGAATTAGTCTTTTACCTTTTAGTAAATATGCCCTTAGATTTTGTTCAAAAGCTCTGCTTAAAAATACTTTTGCAAGAGGTGATTATAGAAACCTTTGTCAGCTTGTTGCTTTTACCTTTTAGTAAATCAATTGTTTGCTTTCTCAGAAGGTCCCCTGTTGACTGATTTATATAAAACCGTTTTTTGTGAACAGAAGACCTAAAGATGTTTATTTCTTTAAAATTAACATTAGATTTGGAAATAATGGCAGACATAATTGCGGTCTATGAATCTCTTTTCATTTGTCTTTTTCTATTGTTAGAAGTCTGAGTCTCCTCTTTTCAGTTCTAGCTCTGTAAACTGTATCATATTTTTCCTCGATGAACATTTTCCTTTCATTCATTTGGTCTTTAAAGAGTTCTAGATCATTTTCAACTACATCTAGATCATTATTTGCTGCTCTTAATTTCTGCTCAAAATTCATTTTTGAAATAGTAAAAAGAATACTTAATTCGAATACTTAATTCGAATTTTAATTCTTCTACTAGAATGTTATGTTTTGTTTTATCTTTAAACTCAAGTGATTTCATTTTTAGCAATTTTGAGTATTTTTTTATGAACTTCTTTAATTTGTCCCTATGTAAATAATAAAAAAAATTATTAATTGATATCAATTACAGTTAAGCTAACAAAAAACAAGTGCGAACAGAAAAATCATTCTTTATTTTAAAGGTTACTAATTCCTTATTTGAGCTATTTTCTGAATATAATCTCTAAAACCTGCTTTGATCCATACAGAAATAACTTCGGCAACAACACAATTAATCCCAAAATGATTAACACAAACTCCTTTAAAACACACAAGTTCAAATCCAAGACGTTTTTGTGGACAAGCAATGTGAAACTTTGACGGCCTGAATCTGTAGCTTTTTTCAGAGTTTAAAAATAGGTAATACCTCAACACAGAAGGCAGTTGGTTTGTTGGCAATTTGTTAATAGGATAATTAACAAGGTAAACAGTTCTTCTAGGACTAATATAGCAGTTGTATTTTCTCTTTGCACCTTGCTTTATTTTCGCTTTTGAACATTCCATGTTAAAAACAAATAAAAACTGATATTGTAAACACTTCTGCACTAGCTAAAATTACTTAACGAGTTTATAAAGATTCTTTAGTTAATAAATAATACTAATAATAATTTCAGTATGATTTTAACAACAACGCTTTTTTTGTAACAATTATTACAAAAGCGAAAGTAACAAAATAACGGGAAAAAATGTGAAATCCAAATTTGAGTGTATAGGGTCGTTTCCACGTGAGTCGACACTTATCGTAGATTTTAAGTACTAACATAAATTTTGCAATAAGTAGTAATTATTTTTTGTATGTATATTTTTGTTTATCAACGACATTGTCATGCACTTCTATTACAACACATAGAAACCGCAATACATAGTTACTTATATAAACTCAGTGGGTTTATTACGTCAGCCTATGAAAATACTTTTTTTTTTAAGTACCAGCTGTTAGAAGCGTTTCAAATAAAATAAGATAATATAAGAAGATAAGATAAAATTTTATTTCTAAATTGATTTAATAAGGTAAATACAACATGGATCATTATTAATATTATTAAAACCACTCATCATTATAGTATCAATGTAGTATTTTTGAATGTACGATAAGTATGAACTAAAAAAAATATCATTCCATACATATCGTATGTCCAATAAATAATCAACTTGGTTCTTTTTTACATTAAAAAAAAATTATTTCACTTAGATTCTTTTACAATCGCAAGACAAAAATATAAGACAAAAGTTTGTAGCTCAAAACGAAGGCTTTATTATACAGATAGCCAATTAAGAGATGCTATTGATGCTGTTAAAAAAGGTATGGTTGTGTACAAAGCAAGCAAGACGTTTAGAATTCCTTATCAGACGTTTCGTGATAAAATATCTAGAAAAACTTCTCTGAAGATACAACACTGCGGTTATGAATCAGTACTAGGTGAACACATTGAAAATAAATTAGATGTACCAGAATGGGATTTGCCATGTCTGTAGGACAGCTATTAGATAGTGTTCAAAAATACTTGAATTCCAACAATATAAAAACACAATTTACTAACAGCCGTCCTGCAAAAGGTTGGTTTTATGCATTTCTTCGCCGTCACGAACAGCTATCTCAAAAACGAGGTGAATACTTAAACCGAGCTGGAGGAGGAATAACTTAAAAAGCCATAAGAGATTGGTTTACTGAAATTGCAAAGCTTTTAGGAGAAAACGCTCAATATTGAATGAAATTATTTAAATGCGCGTTTACAATATGGATGAGAGTGTTTTTCAGTTGTCACCAAAAACTAATTTATTAATTGGTAAATTGGTAAACGAGGAAAAAATACATAAGAAGAAAGTGCTCGAAGTAATAAAAAAAGCATCACCACTTTATTTGCAGTAAATGCAAGCGGAACCTTTGCTCCATCATTAACAATTTTTATATATGTTCGTCTTCCAAATAGAATTATAAATACTGCTCCATCAAGATAGGTTATTGGAAAAAGTGAAAATGGTTGCATGACCGCAGAATGTTGTTTTGAGTATATTACAAAAATTTTTCATCCAATTTTGATAAAAGACAAAATTCCTTTGCCATGTATTTTTTTTTTGATGGTCATGCGTCACATTTTTCTATCAAACTTAGTGAGTTTTGCTCTAAAATTGGAATAATTTTTGTTGCTTTGTTCCCAAATGCAACACATATATTGCAGCCCCTCGATGTGTCAGTTTTTGGCCCAATGAAAGCAAAGTGGAAATCTTTTTGCCAACAATCGTGCATTGACCATGAAGGACAAGAAATACACAATGAAAATGTACCAGAAGCATTAAATTCATTTATAATTGATCCTTCTATGGCAAATAATGTTAAAAGTGCTTTTAAAAATACCGGAGTATTTCGATTTGATGCTAATAGTGTGGACTACACAAAAATTGTTCAAAGATTATCTGAGTCAACTGTGGCTCCGACTCCTTATTTAGAAGAGAATCAATCAAGTGTGACTTTATCAGCATCCTCTCCCATAAACTTTATAGAAAACTGCATTGATCCAAGTATTTTAGAGCAGTTTAAAATAGCTGACGAACATTTAGGTTGGAAAGGTGATCTTGAATAACTCGAGCTGTATCATTTTTGGAAAAGACCCTCATCTGAAACATATAAGACCACAATTTTACCTGATGAAATACAACAGGGTAATAAAAATCTATCAACAATTTGTAATTTAGAAAATGCGCAAATTAAAACCGGTATGGAAATGCCTGATTGCAATATTGCAGCGGTAATAGAACCAAAACCAGCTTGTTCTAGTTTAAAAATAGCAATATTTGAAACCGCGAGCGCATTATAAACCAGTCACTAAAGCAGATTTTAAGATATACGATAAGTGTCAACAATATATACGATAAGTGTGAAACATTACGATAAGTATGGAAAACTGCGCTTTAAAAGTTTGATCAAAATAAGTACATTATTGGTTTAAGTTTCAGAGTGAGAATAATTTTAAACTAACCCTTATAATACTAC